TGAAAGGTGAAAGGAAAAAGAAGAGGGGGGAAAAAAAGGGGCGGGGCGGGGGGGGGGGGGGGGGGGGGGTGAGAGCAGCAGTTCCATCATCCGAGTAACGACAGAACAGCTCTTGACTTGTTCGAGCTCAAACAAGCCATCATTCTTTCTGCACAAAGACGCTATCATGTATTTCTAACAGGAAATGCCTTGCCCCTTCCCCTTCCCTCTCCTCCGCCGCCCCCCCCAGTCCCTCTCTTTCTAGAGCAGGTTAATACCAGGCACCAGGTCTCTGGTGTCAGTTCCATCATCCGAGTAACGACAGAACAGCTCTTGACTTGTTCGAGCTCAAACAAGCCATCATTCTTTCTGCACAAAGACGCTATCATGTATTTCTAACAGGAAATGCCTTGCCCCTTCCCCTTCCCTCTCCTCCGCCGCCCCCCCCAGTCCCTCTCTTTCTAGAGCAGGTTAATACCAGGCACCAGGTCTCTGGTGTCTCCAGCCGTGCTGGCCAGTTCTGGTCCTTCTCTAACGGGGGTCACGGTCCTGTGCAGCTGTGTGTAAGGTACGTCAGACATCCTCGCTGCCGCTGAAAGGTGCTCGCTAAATTCAAAGACCCTGAGGCTGAGTAAGTGCAGTTTATGTTAATTCTGGACACATTCAAAACCTGGGAAGTTTAACTTTGAACCGTATTAAATTTTGCTGTGTTACAGAAAGGACGGGTGGAGACAGGAAAATGCTTTCATTACACGTACCTTTTTTCCTTATGAACACATACCACAGGAAGGATACCCATTTGATGTCAGCCTGGCAGCCTTCATACAGAGGCTGAATGGAAGGGCGAGGCATATTTCTGTTCCTAAAGCTTAGCAAGGATGTCTTTTACTTGAAAGCTTTTTCTTTCTTTAAATTTTAGATTGCAAAGAACTCAGCAGTTTGCAGTTAGATGCAGTAGTCATGCATAGGGACAGCATTAAGTTTTGTTTGCTGGCAAGAGAAGACAGTGCAGTACTGGGAAGAAATAGATGCTGCTGCTCAAGTACCAGAAGTAACGCAGCTACCTCGGCCCAGCCTTGTGCCTGGCCACACGGCGGCTCCTTGGGCCGTAGCGCTGCTGCGCCCTGTGTGTACCGTACCCTACCCACAGCACCTACGTGGTACCTACAGTGACACAGCCGTAAGAACAGTCAGCTGCTGCTTCCCAGTGTGCTTACGGCAGTACTCAGTGCAGTTTAAAAACCAAACCAACCACCACACGACACCCCACCGGCGGGAATCCATCTGGTTTCTGCTTCAATTCCATTTCCAATTCATAGGCCTGGAGAAGTCTAACACAGAAGCAACGGATCTGCAGTCACAGAGCAAGCAGCATCAAGCAGCCCTTCCTCTTATATTATTAATATCCACAATGCATTACTATTCTTAAAGGCATCACTTTCAGGACACGGAAGTGTGTTTAAATAAAAAAAATGAAAAGTATCTAAATGTTACTGGCTAGAAAACTTGATTATAGCGTAGTCTTAAAAAACTCAAAACATGCATCCAACAGGAAACATTTATTGTTTCAGTGCAGCTACCAACATCAACCACATTCTGCTTACTTTTACGCGTGACATGCACAGTCTGCAGCAGCTCTCATACCGTACCCTTATCATCACCACACCGTTTAAGGGTTCTAGCATTTTATCACATACAGACCAGTAAGCAATTTTTTGAGGCAGCAGTGAAGAGAGACTAAATACCTTACGGGAGATTATACAACAGGCATACAAACAGTAAAAAGTTTACGTCTGCCTTTTGCTCAAACACTATGATGTTGACAATGCTTTTAAAAATTAGCCTAATTGTAGAAAAAACATTGTCACTATTACTGACGGCAGCTTTCAATGGCATTCTTTGTTACAAAAAGTGTGGTGTTTTAAAATGCACTCTGGAAACATGCAACCTCGAGGGGAAAATATTTCATAGGTGAGTTCTTTCTTAACAAGCAACCTACAGACAGTATTATAAATGCTCTATAGCACAGGCCAGGTTAACAAACAGTTGATGAAGAAGGAGGAAGGCAGTAAAACCATACAGCGTTTGGTCGGATAGGACAATACTTTGCTCGTACTTTGATTCCCGAGTCTGCCAAGGAAAGAGGCTATCGTATCAAGTAGGAATTCGGCTTCTCAGATACTCTAGCACTGCAGCTGTTCCTTTTGCTAAAATGGCTGCTCGGGGAGCGCGGAATGGATTTCCTTCTAACAGAAGTGTCCTAGAAAAACGGAGAGATTTTGAGTTATTTGTATAAAGACTTTTCCTTGTACCAACACATTCATACGAATTTCAAAAGATTCAAAAGTCTATATGCAGCGTAAGTAATTCCTCTTCTGTACTACTAAAAGAATTTTAACTTCTGCTTCCCTAGTTCACACTAATTTATCTTCTTTAGAGACATCTGAATTTTAATTTATGCTAATAAACCAATGGTGGTATACTATTGTAGACACACAATACACACATACCCTGCTTCTTCAGCAAGCCTCTGCCAGAAGAAAAAGAACTTCTGAAATACAGAAACGGCACAATAAAAGGGGAAAACTATGTTAAATCCTAGCCCTCCACTTTGTAGCTTAGCTGCTAGCCCACTCTTCTTTGGTACTCATAAATCTCTGTGGAGGTTTTTACTTGGTGGGGTGGGGGTGGTGTTGCATTTTGTATTTTTGAAGTCCCTCTGAAATTGTCCTTATAGGGAAAAACCACAGAGACCAGTAATTTGTTGTCTTTGACATGACAGACTACTTACGCATAACCGTCGTCTTTGTGGTGTATTGTGTAAGGATATTCACAGTCATGTCTCTTTATACATTATTTAAAGCATGTTATCCTGCCTCTTTTGTAGCAACGTGCGTAACACACACAGGTAAGGAGCTAAATGTATTCACTGACAGACAGTGCTATGGCTCACCTACCTGGCTTGTCTGTAGGTGCACCAGCAGCGTGTAGGTACATACAGACAAGGTAACTGACTTAGGCTCTAACATCAGATTTACACGCACCGACATAACCTTTCAATTTTTTTTTTAAATCATGAAACAACTCCCCCAATTCTCTACAATACTGAGGAAATATGGAAGAAATTACATTGTTTTATAAATGGCAAGAGAGACCCTTCTTGTGCATTGAGACCTACAAACAAATATACTGGCGATTAGCACTTTTTCCTCTGACAAAACATGCCCTGAAGAAATTGGTCAGAATATATTTTTATAAAACAGGTCACCACTTAAAACACACACCTCAGAGTTTCACAGTTTCCAAGTTCCGGTGGCACCTGGAGGAGGTCATTGTTCTGAAGGTCCAGAGTTCCAAGCTTGTCCATCTTCTTTAGCTGCAGAGGGTCTATGGACCCAACCTGATTGTTACTGAGCAGGATAGTCTCCAGTGCTACGATGTGATACAGGACGCTGGGAAATACTTTAAATCTTCAGGAAGAAAAAGGAGGCAAACCAATAAAAGTCAGAAATAGGGCATTCAAAAAATTAGCAGCCTTTAAAATCAGACAGCATTTTAGCTTTGTTTATTTAAGGTAAACATTTAAACATGCTGCTCTGAAATGAGAAAGCATCCATTATTTTGCCTTGCACACAGTGAACAAGCTGAACAAAACGTGCTCAGCGACAGCTCAGCACCTCTGACAGAACTGCAGGCCCACTACCCTCATTTGACAAGACTGGCGTGTCACACGGAATGTGACTCACCAGTGTAAAGAAGGAGAACAACGGCCAATTGTTCGCTGTGTACTTAAGAAATGCCCTGCTGAGTCAGAGGAACGGGGCTTCCAGCCCAGTGCTGTGACCCTGCTGTGAGCCACAGCAGCAACAGCAGGTTGTCTGCAGGGACACCACTCGGCTGCTTCCTGCCGACCATTCCCCTCATACTTTTCCATCATTCGGAACTGCTGTATTACGGATGCCAAAGGGCAGTCCTGTTGGTATCCATTTTTTGATATATGGTTCACAACATTGTTTAATCCCTTTTTTAACCAGTTGCTACCGTCTCTCCAAAACTTTTGTGGCAGAAAGTTCCAAAAATACACTACCCATTGTGTAAAGAAGTACATGCACTTCATCCTGTTTTAAGCTCACAGCTAGTTGATCAAGTGCCTCCTCATTCTTACATCACAGGAAAGTCATATTGAATTCAGTCCAGTTCTTTTCATTATTGTACATATAAAAAAAAAATCTAAATAGTTGCTCACCTATTAAAAGAAAGATTTATTACTTGCAGTCTTGTCAGTGCCTCCATTTCCTCAGGTAAAGATGTCAAAAAATTATTTCTGTGTATCAAACAAAGACAAACAATAATCGCTAACTTCTACGAAGCTTTAGTTAAGAATCCACAGAGACAGAATATGCATACTTATCAGTGCTAACATGCTGTCTTAAACCAATTAGTTGCTTCATAAATGGGTCAAGACCACGCTCAAGTACAGATGCTTGCTAATGCAAGCCAGCTTTGCATTCTCATTTCTGCCAGTAGGAGATTTAGAGTCCGTCCTCTAAAGACTCCCAAGTGTTTCAAAGCATCTAACAACTCCACAAACCTGCCTGGCAATTCAGCTCCTTGCGCTTCAGAGGAAAGCTTATGGAACTGCCCAGATCTTGGTGCCAAAGTGAATCAGTAGGATAACTCTAAATCTCTTCAAAATTCATTTAGCCTGGTATCCAACTGCTGTAACAAACTTGTTTATGGCTAGTGTTACCCTAGTGTTTCCCACGACAGGAAGCCATTCAGAAGCTTCTTAAATACAAGGAAGACAGGGGTTTGTAAGGACAAATGAGATATGTCCTGAGTGTGACACAAAGAGCCATTACAGGGAAATAAAGACCACTCACTAAAAGATGCCCAGACTTAGACCTAAATTCTTAATCATCAAGATATTCAACCTTGCTCCCTCATCAATCTCATATTATCATCCATTTCTGCAATCTTCAGCCTAACTCCTCCATCAGCAGCACGTATTGTCACAGCATCACAGACTGGTTGAGGCTGGCAGGGACCTCTGGAGCTCATCTGGTCCAATCCCCTAGAGCAGGTGGCCCAGGACCATGTTCGGTTGGGTTCTGGATATCTCCACGGATGGAGACTCCACCACCTCCCTGGTGGTACTCTGTCACCCTCACAGTGAAAAAGTATTTCCTGATGTCCAGGAAACTGACATCCTGTGTGTCAGTTTGTGCCCGTGGCCTCTGGTCCTGGCACTGGGCACCACTGAGAAGAGCCTGGCTCCGTCCTCTCTGCACCCTCTCTGCAGGTGTTTATACACATGGATGAGACCTCCCTGAGCCTGCTCTGCTCCAGGCTGAGCAGTCCCAGCTCTCCCAGCCTCTCCCCATAGGAGAGATGCTCCAGTCCCTTCAGCATCTTAGGGGTCCCTCGCTAGACTCTCTCCAGGCACAGGCAGAGTACTTTAAACCAAACCAAAGTAAAAACCTCTCTGCAACTCCGCTTTGCTACTTTTCATTTCGTGAAACACCAAAGATAATAAAGGCCAGTGAGCTGAACCTGATGTCTAAACAAATGCAATGAGCATTTTTCCGAAGTAGAGAAGGTAAAATGACAGCAACTATCTATTGCAATACTATACTACCTATAGACAGCTTCGGTTTCAGGCAGCACAACAGGGTTTGTGCCTTCACTGTACTGCTTCCCAGCTATCCTCCAGGATTTTTTGGTGTGGGAGTTTGGGTTTTTTGGGGGGAGGAGGAGGGGCTGGTTTTAGATAGCAACTTAACATCTCTGAGACCCTTTTATGGCTGAGACAAGACCTTTCATCACAGCAAGTCTCAGAGCTTGTCCGCTTGTTTTTTGTGTTTTTCTTTAACCAATGCCTAAATCTAGGCCACTTGCTATTTCAGATCTGCCGGTCATTCAGCTGTCATGGAGGCATTTTGGGAAATGAAAAATTATTTCAGTACTGCTATTCCACTGTAACAGATGGCTGGTTTAAAAAGGCATGAAAATAAGTTACCGAGAAAGGAAGCCCAACGCACGTCACAAACCTGATATCCAAATGTGTCAATTTATGGAGCATGCAAAGCTCCAAGGAAAGAGATGAGATTTTATTGAAGCCAAGGTTGACGTCACAAACCGAGTCTTTCAGCTCCACTATCCTGAAACCCAATATGAATATACTTTTATTATGTTAGCTCATGTTTGCATTCTATTTTCTAAGTTATTGAAAAAAACCTGCTTTATTCTACAAATCAAGGACACTCTATGTTTCTTCTCATTTCATAAGCAATTTTGTGGAGTGAAGATAATGGAAACTTCACCTGTGAAAGCTGCCTGTCCTGGAGTCTTACACTTGATGTAAAGACAAAGCTAAGAATCACTTTTCTCAAGTTATTAGGAGAGTAAATGTTCTCTCACAGGTTAGGAGAGTAAATTTTACTACAAAAGCCTACTCACTTAAATGCAATTAAGAGGTATTTCAGAAACCATGGCACAGATGACCATCACTGCCATCTCCTGCCCTGTAAATGTTTTAACAAAAAGACTATCCATCTTCTTTAGCAGTGAAACAAACAGAAAGAGATTGTTATTTTATTTCCATCTTTCATTTCTGTTCCACTGTTCTGCTATGACAAATTCCAGGAAACACAGCACTTGCTGCTTCTTGTAAAAGGGTATTATATTAAGATGTTTTGGTGTAAAATATTTAACAGCTCAAAAAGTCAGCTGTTGAATCCCTGTAACAGAATCTCTGTTTTAGCCCTAAAAACAAAAGGTAATTAAATGAGCTAAATACTCATCTCTCCTATCTGGATTGACACTGAATTGTCTGGCACCTAGCAGCTGCACACCTACACCTTCCTCCTCAGTGAATGCAACAGCCTCTAATACAGTGAAAAAGCATGGGAGGCACCAGCATGATCTCACTAAATAGATTTTCTACAAATTGTACTGAGAAGAGATTTTTTCCTATGAGAAAGAGATTGCACCTCTTCAAGTTCTATGTGCTAAAAGTTAAATGTTCAGCACACTTGGGTCCAAGAATGGAAATAAGTTACCCCCACAAATGTGGTGGTATCCTTAAAAATCAGCTTTCAGGATTTTTTTGGGCTACCAGAGATGCAGTATCCTTCCTCCTTACACAAAAAGACTATTTATTCCCATTAGCGTCAAGAGAAAGCTTGTCCTTCACTGCGGATGAAGTAACAAGTGCAATAATATCAAATGCTATGTGATGGGACACAAAACCTATCAAGAAGAGAGGCATGGAAATTGTTCAGGCTTCCTTAAAAAAACCAGAAACAATTATGCTGTCTGAAGAAATTGAATTTAAATAGAACCTCAGCTATAATACAAAGCTATCACCCAATAAAGTGGTGAATCCACACCGATCATCTTCATATGGGAAAAAGACTGCCTTGTAGAGAAAACAATGCTACGCTGTCATTAAGTACAGCACTTCATTATTATGAGAAGTCACATCAGTCTCCCCTCATTCATTTCAACAATGCTTAGCAAAGCAAGATGAACAACATGTAATGAAAGCACCACTGAGTATAGCCAAGCTTCTTTTTACTGCAATCTTCATGCTAATCAATGAACCCACCTGCATGCTACTCATACTAGAAATGCATGTGTATTATTCAGCCTCTCAATTATACTTTCATTTGTGTGTGTGAGTGTATACACACACACATACATAGCATAAAGTGTAAATATACTTGATTAGGCAAAACATAAGATGCTGAGGAACAAAAGTAGAAACAAAAGTAACAAACAGAGAATGACCTTTACAAAAGTACCTTGGAGGAATTTCATTCAGCTGATTTTTGCTGAAGTTGACAGTGGCAACAGGATTGCTTCTGACTGCATTGAACATTTCATCAGGAATCACGGCTGCCTGTTTCTCACTAAACAATGAAAAGCAGTTAGCTGAGTCACACGAACAAGTTCATAATTTCCTATTTATTAACAAGACATTTTCATCTTCTTTTAGAAAAAGATGAGTAGTAGAATAGATATATAAATATCTACAATCTGAAGTCCTTGAAGGACTGTTAATCAGAAAGCTACCAATCACTGCACCATGCTACACAGCATCTGGGCGATAATATCATTTCACACTGGCACCCTGATCTGTTATCTTGCTCGGGAAAAATTGGTAAGACCTGAGTTATGTCACCACCTCAACAAATATGTGAATGCTGCATACTGGGCCAGAAAGTGTAGTGAGGTTGGCATTAAACAGATTTCCCCCACTCAGCTCAGAAAACATCCCCAGCACAGCGATGTGTAACTCAGGTAACTACTCAGTTTGGAGCTCCAGAACATTTGTGGTGACCAAAGTCATCCCAACCCTTTCACCACAGTGAGGTCCTTTCCACATTCCAGCTTTCAGCAGGATTATGCATTTCACCCGGCAGTTCTCAGCAAATAGGGTTTTCTTCCCCTTTCCCAACCTAACAAGTTACATTGTTGGTTACATTTAAGAAATAACTGAAGAGATACTCACCTACTACAAGATGTTCCGAGACTTAATGAAAATTGCTAAAGAAGTTTAAAAGGTACTAAAAGCACCTGAAGGTATTAAGCATTTCAGTGAGTTAAAAGGAATGTTACTGCAGAATATTTGGTAATATTCAAATCTGCCTATTCCTGAGCACACAAATTGAAGTGAAAAATGCACAAATGCAGCAGGATTTGCAGACAGTTTGGTATACACCATAAAGGGGGAAAAAAAAAAAAGAGAGGCAAAAAATAGGAAAGTGTTCTTACAACTTTAGAAATAGGTAATATTTCAAAACACATACCTATATTCCAATAATTTTAGTGAAGTTATGGCATGCATGTTAATCCTTGACTCGCTTGGAAGAGTCATGGCTGTCACAGGAGGCTCTTCATTTGGGCTAGTTACATCATCTAGAGATAACAAATGTATATAGTCACACTAACTACAGGCTGCAGTCAGATGTGGTGTTCCAAATTACCTAGATGGAGAGGTTTAGTGTCCCTAGTCACCAGCCATCACCCTTTTTAGTTCTTCCTGTATTCTGGCTCAATTGAATATAATCTGATTCAGATTATTTCAAGAATTTTCTAGTAAAGGTTTTTTGTAATCTTGGGTTTCTGGGTTGGTTTTTTTTAGGCTGGGTGGAGGGGAGAGGAGTTGACTTGGATTTTGAAAAAATAGGTCAGGAAGCAATAGAGATGTTACACTAGCTGTAGCTAGCTGTTATGTTAGGCAGTAGCCTCCAAGGGGTGGAGAGCTAGAAACTGATAAACAGGGAATTGGGGCTAGAAGTGATGATCCAGATCACCTATATCCAGAACAGCAAATCTGACCACAATTTTAGTTAAAACATTAATATTTATAAACCTTCATTATACCCTATCTACAATCCACACGAAAAAGCTATTGGCTTTGCAAGGTCACTTTGTATGTTTAAGAAATGCAGATTAAAAGCATTGTTCTGCACATCTGAGGTGTGGCATCACACCCTAGGGATTCACATGCATGTAAGTAGGGTGAAGCTTAGCTAGAAGTCCAAACATATGATAAATCCAACTTCCACTAAAAGAAATTGAACAAAACTCTATGGAAATTCAGCAGCATTCATGAATAAAAGTCTACTAACAATTGCACCTAACCTTTCATTAAGAAAGGTCAAAAGGTCAAAAACAAGCTAAAAAAAAGAGGACTTTTTCCAGTTTAAACCTCTTCAGAAATAGGATTGCTACTGGTTTCGCTCCAACTTAGGTGCCATAACAGGTAGTGTAAAATCATAAGCATTGCTGTACATGCAAGACATTGGCTAATTTTATTATCCACAATTATATTATCTATTATATTTCATCAGATAAGCTTCTGAGTATGTACTCTAGCATCCAATTAATTTTTGTCAAGCTAATAATATGTCAGATTTGCATAGAACCTGACATTTTGAAGCAATTTTATATGCTGCAGTAACCTAATTAATACTGCCATCCTCTGGCAGACACAGAGAAAACCCACTTAACAAAAAGGAAAATTCACTCATACCATTTTCAATAAAAGTTGCTTGCATGTATTATCAAGGTCCCTTCTAAATTAAATGGCAAAAAATGCTTAACCTCTTAAGTGCAGCATAATCGTTTCTATATTATATTTAACATGACCAGTGAATTCGGTCATTTTGCCTACTTTATTTTTTAAAACTTAGGATGAAGATTTCTAAAGATGGTAAACGAAAGTCCTGTTTTGAAAGGATTTCATCTGCTCAGCATGCAAGTTACTTAAGGACTCTGACAGCCTGTTTCCTATATAATAAAAAATAAATTGTCATCTCCACTATTTTGTTTAGAAAACACAGAACAAAAAGAAAAAAAAAAACAAATGCCGAAATATCTCAGCGAATTAGACGCCCAGGTATCAATCTGGAACGTGACTTGAGTGCACAGAAGCAACTAGCAACGTTTTGTCTGCTTTTTTAATACTATCAGTTCATTTTTACAAAGTACTGTATCTGTTAGGGAAATGTGATACAGAATCATCTAGGTGCTTTTTAATCCACAGAGGCAGAGCTTTGAATCCAAGAGAGGATCCTGCAAAAAACATAGAGCATTTGCGCAGAGAAGTAATCCCCTTGAAATGTTTCATCTGATTTTCTGCTTTATGACTTTTTAAGTATTTCTGTATGGAATGTTGGGATCAAGACTATTAGATAGTAGAAAGATGAATTCTAACAGGCCAGGATTAGAATGATGTTTAAAATAATGAGTTACTTTCTCCCCCAAAATTCTTTATTTTCTTAGTCAGCTCGTGGTAGACTTCATGGCATCACCAAGACTTTAAGGCAGACTTTTTTACGCATGTACTTTCTGGGAATCACAGGACTGTACTGCCCACGTTGTTACATGAATGAACAATACCTTTGCAAAATATCACCTACTCTTCTATACTGTGACCAAGCCAGCAGACAGATGGCAAGCTTAAAAAGAACCCCTTATGTAAACTTCCCATGATGTTCAGGGGAAAAATAAAAAAGCTACTGGAACTCCTCATGCAAAATGCATAAAGGGACCAGGGGAAAAATACTTAAAATTGTTTTTCTAAATTATAGTCCTCAATAATGTTTGTTTATTGGTATTTTCTAACAGAATAAGAAAAAGAATCAGCACTGAAATATAAGAGCAAACTGTTAAGTAAAGAAAACTCTATTATTGCAGGATAACTGAAGGAAACTGGATTGAAACAGCTACCCTCTGTAGGGTCTATTTTAATTTCTTAGAAAGATTCTCTTTAAAATGCAATGCAATAGAGCAACATACCTTGTATTTTGCTTCTTAGATATTTCAGAAGTTCCTGGGTGCCTTTCTTTTTAAAAAAAAAAAAAAAAAAAGGAAATAAGAAT